CGTGTTTCAATACATGTTGCAACGGTCAGCATACTGTATAACCTATTGTCAACCCTGAACAAACCTGTCCACGTGGGCCAAATTTGCGTACATCAAACGTTAACTGCCATTGCCAGTTCACCGATCGATAAACACAATCCACAACAAAACACACATCACGTTGGGGGTAAGTTACCGATTTGTCTCTCGTACCTTGGCTTACGTGCAATGGGCCGCACTTCAGCGCGCAAGCCCAGCACAGGGCGTGTGAGCGATAGTCGACCTTGAAGCGATCGATATCAACCGTGATGCCTACCACTACGATGCCTACGCGCGCGGTGATAGTGGCGCACGCGCGCGCCTGCGTTGAATGAGTGAAATGGTGGGACTGAGAATTCACTCTCACCTCATTGGTCGTCTGTCCGCTCTAAACGACCTTGTCAAAACAGCTGACTGTCCCTGTCACTGGTTTCCTCATTCCTCTCTATTGGTGTGTTGGATTTTATTCGCACTCCTTCCCTTCGATGCCTCGTAAACTCTCAATTGGTGAGAAGGCGCGTATTCTGGACTGTCTGAATAGACCGAGTTCGAGTGGCAAAAACTTATGGGATTTCACGGAAGACAGTACAGAATATCATCCTGAATAAATCAAAAATTGGCCATTTGTCTGCGAATTCAAAGGCTTTGAACAGATATCAATTGAATCCGTACGCAAAATATCAGGCAACCAGAAGGTGTTTCGATGGTTCACTAATATGCGGGAGGAGAGAACTTTCAATATCTGGTGAATTGTGTGTGATATGGCCAGACGAATAGCCACTCGCCTCAATACTGAAGGGTTTTAAAGCGTCAAATGGCTGGCTTCCGGTCGTGGCGTAAGCAATATGGAGTAAGATCCTTCAAAGTGAGCGCTCAATTTCGGTTGAATATCCACTCAGGTGTGTGGTGAACGATGCAGTGTTCCGACCAATGAAGTTGACGAGTTTCGGCTCAGCTTTGCAGATACTATATCGGATTGAAAGGAGGATATATTCAACGCAGATGAGACGGCTCTGTACTATCGGGCTTTACCACGAAGAACACTAGAGTTGAATCACGCTGGTGCTACTGGTTACAAAATCTCGAAGGAGAGGTTGACCGTACTTTTATGCAGTAGTGCTTCAGGTGAGAAGTTACCCATGTTAGTCATCGGAAGGTTCAAATCACCTCGATGTTTCCATGGAATTCAGAGGGAGCATCTACCGTGTATATATCATGCCTCAACGAAGGGATGGATGACGTCAGAGATTTTCTCAAACTGGTTAGATACTGTCACAGGAGGATGATCAGCCAGCGGAGGAACATCCTTCTGTTTGTTGACAACGCTCCGCCTCATCGGAATGTCGGCACATTTACTAATGTACGTATTGAATACCTCCCTCCGAATTCTACTGCTATGACACAGCCCATGGATCAAGGCATCATCTGGTCATTGAAGTGTAAGTATCGGAAAAGGCTCCTGGAATTTCTCCTGCCCACATGTGATCCTGAGAAGCTTCCAAGCTGTTCTGAAAGTTTCCATTTGCTACAAGCGATGCGATTTCTCAAGGCTGCTTGGGATAATGTTCATCCGAACACAATAATTAATGGTTTTGTCAAAGCCAGATTTTTCTCACAGCCAGAATTGGCTGACCAATCAAATGACAACTGTAATTTGATCGAAGATTTCCATAAATATGTGGCTCTTGATGAAGAATTATTTGCGCTGGAAGTGCGAGAAATTGATTTGGACAATGATAGTGATGAGGTGAGTGGACTGATTCATTTTGTGGTAACTCCTAAATTGCAGGAATTTTCAGGGGTAGACACTGATACCCTCAATCCGATCGTTCATGAGCCCGAGAGGTCTGCAAATGTAGTATCCCAAATCGACGCAGAGAAATCCGTCGAACTCCTGAAGTCGTACATTCTTTTCCATCCAAAAATGCCAATAGCAGCTGTAGATCACATGAGCCAAATCGGTGCCTGGGTGGCTGCAGAAGGTGTAAGGGCTGCCGCACACAGGAGGCAGTCTAAAATATCCGAGTTCTGGAACTGATTGGAACCCCCAGACCTTTATTATCTGATTATTGTACCATAAAATACATACTTTTGCCGTTAAAGTCGTTTTAATTTGAGAAAAGCCTCTCATCTCGTCGCGGTATACTGATGTGATACCAATAGTTGTATAGCTTTTTTGAGTGTTAATAAACCGAGGTGGGGTGAGTATTTTTGAGGACTTCACAACTGACGTCTAACAAAATACGCCTGATGTATCAATTGAAGGCGAAGTGGAAGTTAAGCTGATTAATGGACCAGTTTGCGCGTTACATTGTATCCAAAGGATAAGTCTTTATGTACAGGAGTACGATTCGCGAATACGATTGGTGCCGAATAATATATAAAATATAATAAAAATATATGACCTACTGCTCGCGGGACAGGATGATATAGGGTGAATTCATCCTATTCATTCTGGACAGAACCTTAACAATTCAACTCGGTATCAGTGAATTCACTCAGGTGGTAACGGGCAGCAATCTGGCTCACTCGTTAGCCGAGTGTAAACTGATGGTAATGAAACCACTCGAGTTGACGTACGAATGGTACTCGAATGTCATACGAATATACTGCATGTGACCATTTGGGTGGGTTCATTGATGTCGAGCTGAAGTGTTGGAGTTTATTCAACCTGGATAGCTTGAATCAACTTCTGTCCGGCAAGCAGTAGGTTCACGTATTTTAATTTGAACTAATGTTTACTTTAAGCTCGACATCTTTCGGATTGAGCTCAAAGTTTTTAATTTTAACATGATTCTTTCAAATTGACTTGACTTCCATTTAATTTGAACATGAGTTTTTTTAATTTGAACTGAACATTTTTAATTTGAACTTGACTATTTTAATTTGACCTCGAAGAGGTGTACTTATGTAGCGTTATGAACAAACGCACGCGAATTTATTGCATAACACACCCTGTGGAAGCGATCTTTTGACGTGGTACCACACGTCATTGTTTACACAACCCAGTGAACCCTGACATCAGGAATTCAGAAATGATCGATTCAACTAGTCTGGCATTTATATTTCTATTCTCAGTTTGATCAAAGACTATATTCTATTTAGCTATACACTGGCAAACGTTGGTCGTGATCCTAACGAAGACATGATTTAGTTATTCAGAATTCATTCTTTCATCATTCAGGCAGACTATGAAACGTTATCATCTCACAGATTTTATACTCTATTTCGATTCCATTTGAAACGATTTTAATCAGTGATGTGCTTGATATGATATGAGTTCAATACATCTTTCGTAGGGAACACTTCCCTCCGTCATATGATATCAAACATATCACTGATTCGGAAATAATTGCAGGAGGAATCGAAAAAGTGTATAAAATCTGTGAGATGATAATGTTTCAGATTCTGTCTGAATGATGAAAAAATGAATTCCGTATAACTGAATAATGGTCTTCATATCCCATAATAGTGATCGTCATGTCCTGAAATTTCAGCTCGATCGGATATTTGTGCAATTTACAAGAGTCGATCGTTTTTGATGTACTGCGGACGTTCTAGGTAAACTCTTTATTCGGATGTTCTATAGTGTCAATCGCAACTGTGAATGAATGGTCGTTCGGATTTCAATGAATTCCTGAGAATTCGTAGTAAAGCCCCTGCGAAACAAAGTCAAGGAAGGTCACTGAGGCGTTTGACTGTAAATTGGTAGTTCCGACTTGGCCCTATATGATCAACGGTACCCTAGGTCAGCTACCTCCAATATTTTGGATACTTGACTTCGAAATGCAGGAATACACAACGAATAAGGCTATATTGTGCTTTAGGATTTTAGTTCACTCCTTTCCACACCGGAAGTGCATGTATCATGGCTCCGCTATCGACCATATCGAATGCCGAATGAATCAATGATGTGATTTCCCTCCCTTTCTTGTAATCGCCTTTCGGACCAATTTGATGCATTACATTGATCGTGTCCATTTTTCAATTCTTTGTTGAGAATTCGTCCAGATTCGAGGGTTTCAGAATGTGATAGGTTGCGAATGTGTATGGATACCTCAGATGGTGGTCATCTGAGCTCTGGTTATGATGCGTCCACCGAGTTGCTCTTCTAAAATGCCAAAGCTCTGTTATTTCGGAAAGTTGTATATCTGGTTCGTGATATCGCGATTGTACATCGATTCGTGTTCAATATATTCCACACAATTGCTGTGAACATACAGGAATTTTTCGGAGATACTACTTATGAACTACTCAAAGTGCAGAACTATCGGAAAAGTAGCCATCCTCAGAAGTAGACATGTTCAAGTCACGAAGGTGGCTAGTTCCAAGGAGGTAGAGTCGTATTAAGTAAGAAGAAAGGGGTGCAAGCTGCATTAGCTTAGTATGAAGACTTTCCAAATAACCTGGGCCTGATGAGGATACAACGGCGATAATAAGACTTGCAGTGTTCTTAGCGGGGACTTCGCTTAACTATTCAAATACTCCATGGAATCTGGGATTCTACCGGACGACTGGAAGAACGCAAATGTCGTGCCTATCCACAAGGGAGGGTCGAAAGAGGACCCAAACAACTACAGACCAGTTAGTTTGACGTCAGTTATTCTAAAAGTTATGGAAAGAATAATCCGCGATGACATTGTAGAGCACGTGACATCCAAGGATTACTGTGCGCTCAACAGCATGGTTTCGTAAGAAGAAGATCCTGCCAAACAAATCTCATCATGTGTCTCGACTGAAATTACTCGGCGTCTGGATAAGGAGAGGCAGTGGAAGTATGTTACATGGACTTCAAGAAGGCTTTCGATTCTGTAAACCACCGTCTCCTTCTAGTTAAACTCCGTGAGTTCCGAATTGGAGAGCAGACCGTGAGGTGGATAGAGGTTTCCTGACAAATCGAACCTTCCGAGTGGTGGTAGATGGAGAGTCATCCGGGGGAAGCCTATGTGAAGAGCGGAGTTCCCCAGGGTCAGGTCCTGGGTCCTCTACTGTTCCTAATGTTCGTGAATGATTAGCACGGTGTTTGGAGAACCCGTGTTACTTTATTTGCGGATGATTGAGAATAGTTGGGAACGCCTGACCATGACCTTATGCAACGGGACCTTGATCGACTATTCGCATGGACAAAGAAGTGGGATCTCCCCCTAAATCTCACTAAATGCCAGCAGCTAGTGCAGATAGAAAATGGATCCTCCCAGCAGACGATTGGGAGAGCCTGATAAAGGGATCCGATGCAAAGAATAGAACTGTTAGGGGACCTGGGGGTGCATATCAGGATTGATTTCAAGCGTCAACCCAGTGTCTGTCGCGGCCAAGAAGGCCAACAGAGCCTTATACCAACTCAAGCGAACGTGCGGGCACGGAAACCATGTGTACTGCTCCACTATAGAGGCTTTCGTTCGTCCCCATCTTGAGTACGGCGTGCAGGCTTGATCACCGTACCTGAAGAAGGCTATTACCCCGCGCTGGAGGCGCCACAAAAACGAGGTTCCACGCAGATGGTTTCCAGAGATTGGGAGGATAAGAGCTACTGGGTAGGTACTGAGCTGGGACTTTTTCCTTGGTTAGGAGGCGGGGAAACGAGGAGTTTAATTCAGATGTACTAGCTAGACACCAGTGGACCAATCGAAAGTGGTAGGTGTTTCGAGCGGCCTAACCTAACTAGTCGCGTGGGCATGCCATAAGGTGGGCATAAAACGGGCTAAGGGGTATAACGAAAGCACGCCTTCGATCCTAGTAATAGTGATCGACTGGAACGATCGAAAGGCTGTAGCGGAGGAAAGCGACCTCCATTGACCAGGCAAGAGATTCATGATAAATGGTGGGTGGAGGATTTCCCGATTGTGTATGCTATGCGCTCTAGATGGTTTTGTCTGCTTGGTTGGTGTGTGTCTGCTTGGTTGGACAATGGGTGTCAGAATGTGTATGCTGTTACCAAGTTTTGAGGTTTGTGTCGGACATTAAGGTTTGAATGATCGCAACGGGATGATTGACTCCGAGCTGTGCCTGATTGTCCCCAGGATACGTGGTTTGGGACGGATTCTCGGATTTTTCCCTGAATTCATATATTCCAAGAGGCCCAGGATGAGTGAGTCATACCCGCACAGAACAACCTTTACAAGGAATACGCTGGTAGAGTGTTTTCCTACGGATTTCGGAAATCAAGGAGGTTACTAGCCTGAAGTCGCAGCACAGAGGGATCACTGGAAGCTCTCAAGTGCAAGAAGAAAACCGGACTTTCTGAAGGCTCTCTGGCCGTGCAGTCCCGGCAAGACATGAACAACTATAAGTCGAAAATTTGGAGTGAAAACCTGTTTCTAAGGATGTTGCAGTACGACGGGATCTAGAGCCATCGTTTGTACAGGAAAATGGGACCACCGAGGCGTCTGAGCGTAGTGGACTCCCCCCAAACTGAAATCTGAACTGAACACCTATTACGGGCAGACTGATATCCCGAACAGTCTGGTGTCAAAAGGATTTCAGGCTGGCAAGTGGCCCTGGGGGACAGCGGGGGGGAACGGAATGAAAGGGTGCGCGACATATGTTAGCTGGAGGAATTTGTCCAATCCTCGACATAGGGATCAATTTTTGGCAGCAGCCGAATTGATTAGCCGTAACTCAGGGGGTGCTGTAACTGTCAAACCAGACAACGCATCTCGAAAACCAACAGAGGCAATGAAAATGGGAGGATTAGCCATCATGCAGCCGAGGGTGCAACTCCAGAGAGTGGGCACTCCTGTGATAAGTAGGACACCTGGATTCGAAAGCTAATGATGGGAAATCAAATGCGGGAAATCTTACGGGCAACCGGACCCTATGTGTTAACTGCCGCTCCTCAATGGGGGGTACCGCAAATAAAGTTTCCGGTATTGATTCTGTAATCGGGAAAACGCCAGGAAGGACTTCAACTCCAAAAACGGGGTGAGTCCTCGGGCCTAACACCCGGGGACCGGAACTCACCCGATACGCAGAACAGTGCGGGGGTGAGTAGAAATCTGCAGATATTCTATACGAATGCCTGCAGTCTTGGGAATAAATGGGACGAGCTCATCTGCAGAACATTTGGACACGAGATTATTGTCGTCTCAGAAACTTGGATGAGCTCAGACCTCCGACTCCCTGATAAACTTGTAGATGGGTTCACCATTTACAGATCGGAGCGAGCAGTTACCGAAAGGGGAGGTGGGGTATTGATACTTGTTAGAACACAATATTCACAGAAAGAGGGAATAAAACTTTCATCTCACAAGGTGCAATGCGTGAGCTGCACGGTTGATACCGGCCCTCACCAAACGGAGATTGTCGCAGTTTATCGAGCACCGGACGCTGATAAGACCGAAGATAACGGGCTGTTGGCGGCTCTCAGAGAAATCGTGAAGGTTCCCAGGAGTATCGTTATCATTGGGGACTTCAATGCTCCGAGTATACACTGGGAGGAAGAATACGCCCCGGCGAGGACTTTCGGATCCATGTTACTAGAATTCATGCACGAGGCGTCCTTGATACAGCATGTAGAAGGGTACACTAGGTTGAGGGAAGGATGTAGAGCATCACTACTTGACTTAGTTTTCACCAGGTACTCAAGTGATATTAAACAGTTAACTACTGGATGTCCTATTGGCAAGAGTGACCATCTAACCATTAGTATGAGCTTAGCACTCCAACGTGGTAAGCCGACAATGAAATATCGGAGGTGTTTCACGTCAATGAATGTAGATTCGCTTCTCGATAGGGCATGCTCACTCACATGGATTCCTGACCACTCCGAGCTGAGCATTGAAGGGATTTGGGCGAAGATAAAGTGCAATCTCTCAGCCCTCACGAATGAGTTTGCACCATTGAGGGCAATACGAAAAAAGGGTCAGCCACCATGGTGGAGGAGCAAGCTAAGGAGAGCATGGAGAAGAAAACATCAAGCGTGGGCGAAACTCAAAGCAGGAGGTGGACATATTCGGATGCTACAGTACAAACGGGCGAGCCGTCAGATGGACCGTCTACGTAAGGAGTGTCGAGCATCATACGAGGCCCGATTAGCTCGGAATGCCAAGGCGAACCCCAAGGCCTATCATGGATACGTGCAGTCAAAAAAGGCACTGCGTGTAGCGGTGGGGAATCTTATAAATGAAATGGCGTCTGTGTGAACGATCGAGCAGAAAAAGCCGGGATACTCGTAGACCATTTCGAGCGGGTACATATTCCAGACGGAGGTCAAAAACCGAGTGAAAGTGACTTAGAGACATATGATGTGCCGTTCATGAACAATATAGAGGTGACTGTAGTTGAGGTAGGAGAACTGCTTGGAGCACTAGACACGTCCAAGTCCCCTGGGCCCGATGGAATTCATCCAGCAATCGTGAAACCCATCGCTAGTGTGTTAGCTGCACCGCTGCAGACACTATACCAAAAGTCGCTTAATGACGGAATTTTACCTCGGGATTGGATGGGAGCAAAGGTGACTCCTATATACAAAGGTGGTTGTAAAGAACAGGCGGTGAATTATCGGCCTGTTAGCCTTACCTCTATCCTACTGAAGACCCTGGAAAGGATAATTCGTAACCATGTTGTAGCGCATGTGACGGAGAACAAGATGATAACTATTCGACAGCATGGGTTCGTTAAAAGAAGGTCTTGCCAAACTAATCTCATATGTTTCCTAGAGGAAGTAACGAGTAGATTGGACAGAGGAGAAGAGGTTGAGGTGTGCTATCTCGACTTCAGGAAAGCCTTCGACTCTGTCAATCAACGATTGCTTTTGTTGAAACTCCGGAACTTCCGATTATCGGAGCAGGTTCTAAATTGGATTGCGGCCTTCCTACATGGCAGAACTTTCCACGTAGAAGTCGAAGGATCAATATCTAGAGAGGCGGGAGTGTGCAGTGGGGTACCGCAGGGATCCGTATTAGGGCCTCTGCTGTTCGTGCTCTTCGTGAATGATCTCGCCAGACAGCTTTACAACCCCTGCTTCATGTTCGCGGATGATCTGAAGCTTGTTGGAGACCCTCGAAGTCGCGTTACCCAGGAGGACCTCAACAAAATTAGGAATTGGACGAACATTTGGGGTTTACCTCTAAATGCTTCTAAGTGTAAACAACTAACTAAATGGGAGCATCAGGGGCCAACCAGGACCATACACGACGGACAGAGCGATATAGCTGTGGAGAGGGTAGATTGCATGAGGGATCTGGGAGTACAAGTCACCAGTGACTTCAAGCCTCGTACGCATTGCCTGCATGCTGCGCGTAAAGCAAACGGTGCTTTGCATCAGCTAAAAAGAGCCATGCAGAGTAGACAACCTTGGGTGTTGGTTCCTCTATATAAGGCCTTTGTAAGACCGCACTTGGAGTATTGTGTACAGGCTTGGGCGCCACATCTCAAGCAGGATAAGGCGATCTTAGAAGCACCACAGAGACGGTTCACCAGGTGGTTCAGTTCGCTACGTTCTCTGTCTTATCAGAGCAGGTTGGAAGAATTGGGCCTTTTTTCTATGGAGAGACGTAGAAGAAGAGGAGATCTCATTGAAGTGTTTAAGATACTCAACGGATTCTCCGATGTCAGAGGGCACCACCTTCTGCCGTTAGTAGGAGGTGATCGACTCCGAGGACACAACATGAAAATTGTTAAAAGGAGGTACCGACTGGATGTGAGGGGACAGTTCTTCACCCAAAGAGTAGTAAATGACTGGAACGTATTGACGGAGTACATTATTGAGGCCCATAATGTAACGGAGTTTAAGCACCGTCTAGATGAGCACTGGGAGTGTTATTTCCGGACTGTTTTGACCCAAACATTGGGTGACCACTCAGCAATTCTGCAGATAGAGGACCAGACAGACCGCAATTACAAATTGGGGAGGTTGTTTCCAGGTTATTCTGAGGTTGATTACCCCTGCCTGATAACTTTCCCGGTGTCTGTCTGTCTGATTGAGATGGGGTTCGTCCCACTGTTATGAAGAGAAAAGCTTTTTTTCTTGTGTTGCAGCTCGGGGAGATCTAAGGAGCTGACGTGTCGGGCAAAGAAAACTGGGCACACCTTTGCTATGCTGTCTCGCCCTGACAGGTTGATTTGATTTGTTTGGAGGGAGTAATAATATTCCTACAGTCCACCTACAGGCGTCACGTTTACTCAATCACTCATATCATTCGGATTGTATCGTGATATGTCCGTACGGAGCATGAACCCAACGAGCCTCGGCTCCTTACTCCCAAAAACCCGTTGAACTGGTTCAGCGATTTCAGCGATGAATACACAGGAACGAGGCCAGTGGCCCGAATATCCAGGATCCTTGAAGTATCCGAGAGATATCAGTCCAGTTGGAAAACCAAAATAATTCCAAAAGGGCGTCAAATAGAGCTGAAAGGGAGAGAGAAAGGCTCGACGTCTGGCGACGTGAGCGATTAGTGGAGGGGCTCGCACCTCTGAGGTGCGAGTGATAAATAAACAATCACCTAATGTGAATACGGCAGGTTAAGATAGGAGAAACGGTTGAGATAACTGTGTACATGTGGAGGGGAGAGGGGTACGCAGTTATAAATAGGGAGCTCGGTCTCATAGATTAGATTAGGCCGAGGTGTTTATCGACTGCTTTCTTGAGTTTCACCTTGCTTTCGCAAGTGAAGACTGACTGAGGGAGGGAATTCCATTCTGATACTACTCTGAAGGAGAAGAAGTTCTGGCGAATGGAAGTACGTGGGCGAAGTTTAAATAGTTTCCTATCATGTCCACGTAGTGCAGATGAGGTGGGACGACAGAAAAACTCGTCCACTAGACCAGATTCGAAGAGGAAATGAGTGAGAAGGATGTCACCCCGGACCCTTCTTACTTCAAGCGGGTAAAGATTAAGTTTGTCCAGACGTTCGTGGTAATCTAGGTGCTTGATGCCGGTCACCATTCTTGTTGCGGCTCGCTGGACCCATTCGAGAGTGTTCGCGTCTCGGATCAATCCGGAAGTCACAACTTGGGAGGCGTATTCAAGACACGGTCGGATGTAAGTGCTGTACAGAAATTGGAATTCCGACGGTTTGATTACGGGAAATGAACGTCGTATAAGGTGAAGGATGGAGAAGGCCTTCTTCGCCGCTGTGATGTGGTGATGAGAGAAGGAAAGGTCGTGGCTGAGCCAGACTCCAAGGTCTTTCTTTAGGTCTTCTCGCTTAACAGCAGAGAACTCAGATCCATTGTAGAGCACATAGGCGTTCTCTGAGTCCCCACCGAAAGACATGTGGCAGCACTTATTCGGGTTGATAGGGAGCTGCCAGATCATGGACCATCGGATAATCTCATTGAGGTCAGCCTGGAGAAGATTCGAGTTGGTCGAAGACCAGACCTTGAGATCGTCGGCATAAAGTAGGCAAGGGGAGGAGATCTGGTCAGGAAGATCATTTATGTACAGAAGGAAGAGGAGTGGGCCGAGGACGGATCCTTGGGGTACACCTGAGGTGACCTCTCTTGGGCGAGATAGGGAAGATCCGATTCGGACCTGGAAGGTCCTGTCACACAAAAAGTTTTTGATCCAAGAGAGGATTGGACCCGTGATACCGTAGGCTTCGATTTTCCTCAAAAGATGAGGGTGTGGGACTTTGTCGAAGGCCTTGGCAAAGTCGAAGAAGACTGCGTCTGAAATGAGACCCTTATCATAGGCGTCGGTCAGACTATCCATGAAGACTAGAAGATTCGTTACACAGGATCTTCTGGGAATGAAGCCGTGTTGTCTACTAGATATCAGGTTATTGGAAGTTAGGTGGGACAGGATGGTTTCTTTTAGCAGCCTCTCCATGATTTTGCAAGGAATGGATGTGAGGCTGATCGGGCGATAACAGTCTGGGGAGTGCCGATTACCCCCTTTGAAAATTGGGGTGATGATGGCTTGTTTCCAGGGGGAGGGGAGAACACTAGAGTCAAGGGATGACTGGAAGAGTTGGGTGAACGCAGTACCGATTACAGTACTCGTTTCTTTCAAGATTCTCGGGTGCATATTGTCTGAGCCCATGGCACTTGTTGGATCCAGACGTGCTAGGGCTCTCGCCACATCCGACTTTTTGAATTGAAGGGTAGATAGCTCATTAGAGAAAAAACGTTTCGGGAAGGGCGGAATACAGTCGGAAGAAGAGGGAGCATAGACAAAAGCGAAATGAGCGGCGAAAGTGTCCGCTACTTCCTGATGGGAGGAGTGGGTATCGCCTTCGTTATCCACCAGAGCTAGGGGAGAGGGTTTGTTGCGCCTTTTCTTGCGCAGAAACTTGTAGAGAAGAGACTTGTCGAGAGAAGCCTTTTCCAGGAGGGCTTTTTGGCAATTCCGTCGGTGGAGACGAATTTCACTTTTGCACTTGTTGCGCACCTTCTTAAACTCAATGAAGTCCTGGGAGAACTGGATTGAAAGTATTTAGCGAAGAGGGCAGAGCGCAAATGCAGAAGGCGTTGGATATGCCGAGGTAAGCGAGGACGTGCTGAGGTGCGCATCGGGACGCGTGGGATGAAGATTCGATCCGCCTCGGCGAGAACACTGGTCAAGTGATTCTCTAAGTCAGGGGTGTGTTGACTGTCAGAGTCTATGTGGTTCACGAGGTAGGTCCTCATGGCTTTGAAGTCAGTCTTCTTGAAACATCTCAGCAATTGTTTCTCAGTCGGTCGAATAGGCCAATAACAGACGAGGTCAAATGAAATGGTTACGTGATCACTCAAGCCCAAAGGGCTGTGAGGGGACACGTTGTCAACTAGATGTGGGTCACTCGTCAGAATGAGATCTAGGAGTGAGGGAGTCTGACCGTCCCTGAATCTGGTTGGGAATTTGACGTGTTGGGTCCAACCTTGGTCCATGATCAAACGAGCCAATCGTGCTGGTATCCAGAACTTGGGTGGTTCAGTGGCTCCCAGGAAATTTTGGGGGCGTTGAAATCTCCCATCAAGAGGAAATGTGAGGTGGGCTGCGATTCTACGAAGGAGGATAAACTCTGCAAAAGACAGTAGTCATCCTGGGGACTAGAAGAGGGTGAACGGTATAACAGTCCCAGGAGAAGTTTATCAGATCCAAAAAGGGGAATAGATAGCCAAGTTACTTCAGCCATATCGAGAGCTGTAGGAAGAGTGCACAAAGGGAGCGGGGAGGGTTTCTTCTAGGTAGACAGCCGTGCCACCAGCTCGACCTCTTTTGGAGTCGGTCCGGATTAGAGAGTATCCAGGGAGATCGACCTCAGCATCTTTGATGGATGGGTCCAGCCAAGTTTCCGTGAGGCCGATTATCTGGGGTTTTAATTCCGGTAGCAGCTCTTTCAGCTCCGTGAGTTTGTTAGAGAGACTGAAGCAGTTGGCCAGGATACATTTCAGAGAGACTTCCCCGTTACTCCGTTGAAGAGTGTTGGAGAGAGTAGGGGAGGGAAAACTGGTAGACTGGCCATGTTGACGGGTAACATCTGGTAGACGGGAGTGGTCGGCCGGCCTTGGGGTGTAGAAGTAGCTCGCAGGTTGGTGTATGGGATTTTTTTTCTCGATTTCTGTTTTTTGGTATACCTCGGAGGATTTGGAGGTTTCTTGGGGGGATGAATCCCTAAAAAAGGTACAGGCACCTTGGGAGCAGGACCGAGGAGCCCATTTGCGCGATGTTTAAAGCGATAGGCAGCTGGGTCCAACGTCGTTTGGTTCTTGGGTTCGGGAACCGCACTGGATGCCGGTGATTCTGTAGGGATGAGGGTGTTTGGAAGGGTACTTTCGACAGAGATGAAGCTGTCTTGGGAAGAAATCGAGTTGAGGCTGAGAGTGGATGGTAACTTGCTGATTCTGACAGCAGTTACCTGGTTGATTTTGGGGTCTGAGGCGATATGGGGAGCGACTTTAATCGCAGGTTTCTTCAGTTTCCTAGAGGCGATTGGGAGATCTCGTGATATTCCTTTGAGGATATCAGAGGACCGCTTGAAGAGTGCCTGGTAGGATATAATGACTTCGGGGGCTATGGTTTCGGGGAGGATGACCATGATCCCTAAGATTTTCTTGGCTCGCGAGCGGAACCATGTGGCTTGTATCTTGTTCACTCTTGATGACGTGGTTCAATCAGCATCA